ACATGAGCACATACCTAGATGTAAGTAAAGTTGAAGAGTCTAGTTCAACACTAATGAAGAAATAAGCGGAACATAAACCTTTTTTAAAGTTGCCATGATGACGTGACAGTATCATCAGTTGATTTTCTCTTTGTAAGACTGATCAAAAGTATTGTGTCGAGATTCAATTACAGAATCACCTAACGGCATATACTCAGATATATTATATAACTCGCATAATATAATTGCAAAGTTTGTTCATTGTACTGTTGAAGAAATCTAAGAGTGTAATTGCACTATTATTGTTTGTTTGCTATATAAAATAATTATCATTAGTTACACTCTTTTAGAGCGAGTTTTCTTTGTCGATTTCTTGATATCCTTTTCTGTGTCATCAGTGCGGTAGTTTGGTCGTTCAGCAAGGACGTACAAAGCCTTTTCACGCAAATACTCATCCCAGGAAACGAGCCTGTTGATCATGAAAAAATTATAAAATAAAGAAATCGAGATAAAAAAATAAAAAAAAAATAATAATGATTATATAAACTTTTAGGGTACAAGGGAACAAATTTGTTAAATTTTTATTTGGGGGAACAAATTTTGTATTTCGACTTTTAGGGAACAAGGGAACAAACAGTAAAATTACTGGGGAACAAGGGCCACCTTGGTATTACTGGGGAACTTAGATCCCCCTTCCCCTTCCCCCCGGGAGGGCCTCATTCGTGTTGAAGTCAATGGCTCACCTGTTGTTGTTTGTATCCGCATGCATAAAGATCTCCGTGTGTCTGTCTACGTGTCCAGACACTGTCTTGGCATCCAACGGTCTTCCAAATGAAGATGAGCTTTGCCTGAGCCATGCAAAACAACCACATGAAAAATAATCAAACAAACACTAGCTACATAGTTAACGCAGTATTTTCGTGTCGACACAAAGCAGATTTCGTATGACTGTGAAAAAATCACGGTCACGATACGGTATCCCAACGATGAAATCCGTAGAATCAATCACAATGCGTCAAGTTCCCATTCATCCAATCAGAAAGCTGTAACAATGCATTGTCGCGACCAGTTTTTCACAGTCATGTAGAACCTGCTTTGCATACCACGTATATATACCTACCCCGGACCGTCCGATATCCTGAGGTTTCCAAACCATCTTCCAAATCCCTTTGATACTTCATAAGAATTGATGTAGCCATCCTCGTCCGTGTCAAAGGCGTGGAAGATATCACGTACTTCTTGGATTTCTCGAGGAGACAGCATTTTTACCAACTGAAACTAGTCCAATCATTCATAAATTTAATATATTACCTCCTTGGGGGATCTTGGACAGGTTAGTTGTTTGGGGGGATAGGGGTGAGAAGGGAGAAGACTGAGGGAGCAGGGAGGACAGTGTATAGGATGGAGACGGGAGACAGAAGGGAGGAGGCTGGAGGATGCAGGGAGAAGGCCGAAGGTAGTAGGGTGGAGGGAGGAGATTGGAGGATAAAGAAATGAGTCAAAGGGGAGGAAGGAGGAGGGAGGTGGTTGGATGATGCAGGAAGAAAGGAAAAGGGAGGAGGGAGGAGGGAGGAGGGAGGAGGGAGGAGGAGGGAATGGTGTGCGTCGGTACCCCTTTCCCTGCGCTACTAGAGAAAGATCAGGATTGGATGCAAAGAATGAAGGAAATACCTCGCTTACCTGGCTGCGTTTGATCCCCAGTGTTTTGAGAGATTCGTGGTTCAAAAACTCCCACCAGTCTATGGTACCAGTGCTGTTTTTGTCAATCATGGTGAACTAGGGAATACAAAACCAAATAGGCCCAATCAGGGATTATATAGAGCATTGGACTCACAGGATTGCGTGACAAAATATAGTATACGTTACCTCACGAGCCGCTTCGTCTACCTGCACCTTGGGCATTTCTACTTTGTGAATGTCTTTGTACTTTGCTTTTTTGTATCGGATGTACTCTACTTGAGTTATCTGTGTATCTGTGGATAGAAACAAATCACGTAAACCCTACACACAGGCAACACAGTTCTATAATCCTGGAAATATTTCTCCTCCCTATATTTTTGTCTTCATTTCCTCCCCCGTTCCTTGCAATCAAATTTATTTTACGAAATCTGATTTGGGACAGCATTGATTGTGGGAGAAAAAGGCAGAAGAACGCAGGACAATAAAAGTTGACAGTGCTCTAGGTCAACTAACCTTGATTAACATCAAGTCTATCAAAGCTTTCGATAAGCTCTTGCATCTCTTCCTCTGTCAGCAACGATGTTAAGCTTTCCTGAGTAAACAAACAAAAACAAATTCAAATGGTTTTCTTTTTTCAGTGGTCAAAAAGAGTTCAATAGGACGTTTGCATGATGGCGTCATTTGACTCCCACTACCAAGATGCTTTGCGAATTTTCTTTCTTATATAAATTTGTATTCCCTCATGAGAATAGTAAGACAATTGGTGCTAATTAACTGAACGAAAGAAAGCGTGCAAGGGAGTCTGGTAGTAGAGGTCAATGACGCCATCGTGCAAACGTCATTTGGAAGTGTACACCTATTTCGTTGAATACGAAGAACATTGAATCAGTCTCATCACTAAGGTCCATGTTCTTGACGAGAATAAGAAGCAGAAACACAAGTCATTCCAGCTATCTCCTATCTCCTATCCCTCCTCTCTCAGTTCTAGTCTCAGTTGATCTATACTCACGCATTTATGGCAGCTCCAACCGGTTTTGGAATTGGCGTCCCGGAACATCTTCAATTCCCAGGGGTCATTCAGTCTTCCACGTTTCTTCATGCACGTCTCGTGGAAGACTTTACAACAGATTTTACAAGGTAAGACTGGTTCGGCAGTATACACACCACACTCAAAACACAGCTCATCGTTCTCAACCTGTGAAGCATTACGGAGAACAAAGTCAGTGAAAGCTATAAACCTTTCAACGTTGAATGCCTATCAGGCTGTTCAAAGCAGACCTAAGGTACCTACCTCTCAAACCATCCTAGAGAACAAATATGCGAACAGAGAGCAGGGGAGGATGCAAAATTCCCGAGGGGGGGGGGGGGTACTCCCCTATATTTACTATACGGGTACGTGACGTCAAACAGGGTATGGTTTTCAGCGATTCTACTCTGGAACAGGGTATATGAAATCACGCTCTCTCTCCTCTCTGGAACAGGATTTTCAGCGATCTTGCTCTGGAACAGGGTATGAATTTCAGCGATTTTTACTCTGGAACAGGGTCAGGGTTCAGAGGGCTCAGCGGCACATCCATACCCTAAACGGGCGAGAGTACCCTCGGGGCAAAATTCTGAAGGGCTGAATAGAATTGGCCTTATACGAATCTCACTACTGACAATGTTAAACGAAACAAGAGGTTGGGTATTGGGGTTTGCTCTCAAGAACATTCTTAAAATATGAGAAGATAATATAGGTAAGTTGTAGTGCTTGGGAACGAGGTTATTCCGGGCGAAAGCCCTTAGAATTAAATTCGGAAAAATTAATTTCCGACCTCGCTGGGATTCGAACCCACGACCTTCGGAA